ATTACTCACCAACTTAGGGGAAGTTTTCTTGTAAGAAACACTTAGCAGTGAAATCCTTTAAATGATTCTCTATCCCCAATGTTCAGAAACTGACTGCAATAACTTCATTGTAAAACTTGTATTAGTTTGTATGTAAAATTAAGAATGGGGATTAATTAGCAAGATATCATCATAAACGGATAGGTCTCATGGGTCAACATCCTGTTAAATAACAGTTGGATGTGGACGACGAAGCAAGGTATAGTTTCTTTCAATGGGCCTCCGTTTTACAACCTGGAGTCAGTGTAATGTACAGGCCTGATAAAAACCCGATTTAAATCGGTTTCCCGATTTTTTTTATTTTTCCCGATTTTTTCCCGATTTTTTTTTTCTTCCCGATTTAAAAAAAAAAAAAAAAAAAAAAAAAAAAAAGATTTTTTTTTTTTTTTTTTTTTTTTTTTTTTTTACTAATTTTTTTTCTTCCCTATTTTATCCTGATTCCCCTCTTATTTTCTCTATTCTTCCCTATTTTGCCCTATTTTTCCCAAAGTTTTTTACTCGAAAGGGGGCAATGTTGTTAGATGCCATTTTTTCCCCGCGAATCCTCTTTTCTTTTTTTTTACTCAAGGGGGGCGTGGTTGAGGGGAAAACAAAAAAACCTATTTTTTTTTTAGTGCTCACTATCACCCCTGAATGTAGCCTACTTCTCAAAGATAATGCACTTCTTCACCAAAGCCTTAAAATGATATTTTTAGTCTTGCAGCATCTTCCATAGAATGCTTTTTTTTTTCTCCCTGCATTAGGTTACTTTAAGATACATGCACATTAAATTAAAATGCGTTGTGGCATACCAAAAAAGTGGATCGTCAGGTATCGTAAATTGCCACCTATCTTCCGGCTTTCTTCTGAGAATCTATGAAATCTATATCCAAAACATGAAAATGCAGCTGAATTAATGTTGACTGAATTCATGTACTGTACAGTTTGGTAGCAAACAGAATAATGTCATGAAGCATGTTAAATACAGTCTCATGTTGTACTTCTTGTTTCAAAAGATTCATTTTCCATCCACGATTTCCAGTGAATTTTCATGTAAATAAAATATATTAAAGTGACTCAATAACATTGTTGAAGGTTGATGAAAAAAATGTGTAATTTTTGTATGAAACGTTATTTATTACATTCCTTCTACTGTACTAACCCTCAAAATATTCTGAAAAAAATTCTCAAACCACAAAGATATTTATGGTTTTCTTTGAAGGCGTCACTGTGCGACACCCTCTAACAGTAAATTCTTCCAACCATTTTTGAATTTTCCCCAAAAAATAAAACATAAGACAGGCTTTAACAAATCATTCAACACTTACATGTAAATATCTGGAATTGTATATAGAGCTAATTCATTGCTTTGTGACGGTTAACATTTACCTAAAATGTAATTATATTGTAATGATATAGTTGGGAGAATTAAGGAGTCAATCAGATAAGTTTTTTTCTGTTTTATATCATTAATAATCGTCTGTTTTCACTCAAACTTTTAGATTATCTTTAATTCTACGTCTAGCATTTAAGTCACTACCTTAGCACCCTTTTCTCTCATCTGAACAACGCTACCAAGTCCCTATAAAGATCACAGCTATGCACTAACCTACTCAAATCCTTTCCACCCGAATACCTCCTCGCTCAATCGCAGCATTTCTTTTGAAGCGAGAGTGTTTGTCACAGGTACACACAAAAGCTCATTGGTTGTACATGTATGCATACACATTGACGCTGGTATTTACATCCCAGGCCAGGTGTATTAATGATTTTTTGGCTCTTATCGGCATTTGCTTTAATATTTCGCTTGGGGCGGGGGGCGTCGGCGGCGTGGGGTGGGAAAGATTTTATAGCATCTTAGTACAAGTATCTTAATGTTATCTATCATCTACTAGCAAAGAAATCTGACAAGTTTTATAGGGCTTAGCAAAACTATATTATGGCCTTTAACTATCCCAAACAACACATGAATACATGTAATCTTTTATCTATCATAATCCTTTGATTACTGTATACTGTATGTAGGGCTATAATGGCAGATTGTGATACAGATCTTTAAATATTCTGATCGCTTTCACCAATGCCACGGCAATGACCAACCCTGTTTATTATGTCCTGTCCAAACTGTTGAATGATACGCAACCACACACGAAGGCCTAATTCTCATTAGACTCTGAGAACTTGCTTCCTTCCTTTAAAGTGTATCATATGTCTTTGCTGCTTACTCCAAACTTTGAAGATAGACCAAGCAGATCTAAGTGATGAGTCATGGAGGGTATTACTCATCAACTTCGGGGAAGTTTTCTTGTAAGAAACACTTAGCAGTGAAATCCTTTAAATGATTCTCTATCCCCAATGTTCACAAACTGACTGCAATAACTTCATTGTAACACTTGTATTAGTTTGTATGTAAAATTAAGAATGGGGATAAATTAGCAAGATATCATCATAAACGGATAGGTCTCATGGGTCAACATCCTGTTAAAAAAGAGTAGGATGTGGACGACGAAGCAAGGTATAGTTTCTTTCAATGGGCCTCCGTTTTACAACCTGGAGTCAGTGTAATGTAGCCTACTTCTCAAAGATAATGCACTTCTTCATCAAAGCCCTAAAATGATATTTTTAGTCTTACAGCATCTTCCATAGAATGCTTTTTTTTTTTCTCCCTGCATTAGGTTACTTTAAGATACAGCTGAAAACTTATACGGCTGATTTTTTTCTTCTGGTACTTTCATTTCCATTCTACCCAGTACCCACATAATGAAAATGTGATCAAAGATCCTGTCTTATTCGAGGAATCAAATATGACAGCCTGTTCCGGTAGTTAGACTTCTTGGAATGTTTAAACTTGCTAGTGGATATGAACCACAGATTGTTTGAAACATGTACGGGTACATGAAGAGGGTATGTCTTGAAGGTGGATATACCTATATCTCCCTCTCGCTCTACTCTCTAGAGAGATACATTTTTTGATTTCTTGAAACTTGGGTTTGCTTGTTGAATATGAAATATATAGTGGCGATAAAAATAATAATTGTTTGCCCACGTGGACCTGTAAAATGAACCAAAGTTTGTAAGTATCAATGTTTTTGCTTTTGGCTGGTAAACAGGACATCATGTTTAGCTGCACACATGTATGTATTCTAAGATAGGCATACACATGGTATCTAGGAACCAGGAAATGTAATTTATCATGAATTGCAGCAGCTCAAATTTCATTATTTGTTTCGTATATATCAGGAAGATGTATAAATGTAGGCCTGTTGTAGGATTAGCTTGTCACAAAGCTGTATTTCTGCACAAATCTCAATGTGTGACATGTGTACAGTACATTGCCTGTATAATCTTTTGAAAGTTCTTGAATTACCCATGAACCCTTTTTTTCTCAAATCTGCATTAACACACATTTGTTATGTAAACCTTGATTTTACATCTGAATAATTAATTTAACTTCTATAAGATAATTTATCTGGTCAAATCTTCACTGAACTTCTTATTAAGAGGGTGTGGCAACATGGAGCTTATATTTTGTTGATTTCTTGCATGTGTAAAGATTATATCATAAACAACTGCCATACACAAGAGGGTCATGATGGTAGCGGCCCACCGTTATGACATTGTTCAGTATACATGTAGGTCAATGAAATGTCCCTCTCTTGGTCAAGTTCACTGTTACAAGTATATTATTTCTGCAATTCATGTACAAGTTATGTTAAATTAAGAAGATTCTGTATTTTGATTAGGGCGAAAGTAAACCGGATTTAGATAATGATCAATTGTAAGAAGCAGATTTTAGGGGCACCAGATTGCCCCCTAAAACACCCCCTCCCCACATCTTGAATAAGAAGTTAGTCACTATCCTCTCCATATCTACCCTCCCCAGGGAGCAACACATGTGGGTTTTTTTTACATTCAGCCCCCTCCCCTTCTTTTATGTTGAAAACCTTCAATCTACCCTTGTGTATCAGGAAATCAGTCCTATATAAATGTTCTGTAATTCAGATTTAATCAGTCTATTCCTATGTATCCTTCCTCATCCTTGCCTTATGGCTGCTATAGAGAGTGAACGTATGGTTTCAGTGGCTGGTTTCAAGTGCCCTGTTATTCTTCTCACAACTCACGAGCTCTAGAGCCAGCATCATATTATGCTTGTTTTACTCATGCATATATGATCCAATGTTGTTGCTATATCAGAGCCTACATGTTATTGATGTATATTTGCCGATTGGAAAAGGATTACTCTTTCAACACAGCTGGTACATCTACGATACATTGTGATATTTATGGATCTGGTTTTGAGAACTAAACTCGCTTTAACTATTAATATGCACCTGTTCATGTTTAAGTTTGTTTTTGCGCAAAATTGAAATAATCAATAATCTGCAGATGTAGGTTAGATACATGGATATGTACACCTTGTTTGAGGGCTTTTTCTATGTAATGGAGTGCAGAATTGATCTTGATGTCAATTGAAACCAGATCTTATGTGTATTTTTGAAGGCCTTAAATGTCAACTTCTACTTTTCATGCTTTGATTTTAATGATTTTATCAGGCCTCTCATCACATATTTTCTTTCTTGTACATATTAGCTTTCTTGTACATGTACATGTTACGGTAATGTACATATACATGTATGCACACCTGTATATATGTTTGCATATCTGAAATTTTACACATTGAAATTAAAAGAACCAGTTTTCAGCTTCCTTTTTAGTTCTGTACAATTTGTAGTCATCAGAGTTTGTATGTCGCCTTGCATTTTATGTTTTGAGGTTCTTTTTCATTCTTATCAATATCCCTGGCTTGCTGGATCTGGACAGGGTTTGATATTGTGTATCAACTTAATAATATTACGTTAATGATTTTAGACAAAATACTGATATGCAGTGATAAATGATGTGATTTCATGAAATATTTTTTTGTCCTTTATTGAATGCAGTATTCTAAATATTCTGTTCCTATTTTTTTTCTTCCTTTCCAGATGTCTTGACAACCTGACCCTGTAGCAGCTTGCTGATATCCGGTTTGCAGTCCTGTCAAGCTACCACGATGGTTCGGCTTGGGTCGTCCAAGAAGACCATCGCTGCTCTGCTCTGCATCTCCACTGTGTGTGTGATCCTCATCCTCAACTCCCAGCTGAACGCCTCGCCCCGCCGGCGTGCTCGCTACGAGACCCGCCACACCCTTAGCGTTCCCCTCACCCTCAACCTCTCCAAGAATGTCACCATCCTGCGGCTCCCGGACGCCAACAACCGCATCCACCGGTATAAGCTGGAGCGCATCGATGAAGCAGAGGAAGACGAGGATTATTGGGGAGATGAGGAGGAAGAGGAGAAAGAGAAGAAGATGATGAATGCGAGAGAAAGTGGGGAGGAGAAGGAACCATTCATGATGGCAGCAGATGAGGAAGAAGAGGATTTTGGAGATAGATTGAATGCAGGGCAAATGTCCAACCAGACAGTGGAAAGACAACCTCAGCCCCATATAGAACCCCCAACTAAATCTATTGGTATGCAATTAAGGCAACAAGTAATTCAAGCTCGAAATATTACTAAAGAAAAGAATTACCTGTTACAAGTATCAGATCCAAGATATTCTCGCATGATAGGGAAGGTTTTGTCTAAACTGCCTAACGATGTCCGCAAAGACATGACCTTGAATATAAGAATGGTCGAAGCAAGATCCAGGATGGACTTCCTGAAGCTGCCAGCTAATAAACAGTGGGAGGTTATTCTCCAAGTTTTTGCTTCGAACGGTTACGAGCAGAGGTTTCCCGATGTCATTAACATCGGTGTGAAGAAAAGTGGAACAAATGCTCTTGGTTTCTTCTTTCCGCAGCACCCGCAAATTGTTCATTCCATCGGCAACGAGGTCCACTACTTTGATTGGATGTATGAAAAGGGCTTGGCCTATTACAAATCACGAATGGGCTTTGCCAAGTCTACCCAACTAATTTTCGAGAAAACGCCACGCTATTTTGTGACTGCTTCAGCCCCGAAACGGATCCTAGCAGATCTGCCCACCAAACCAAAGTTTATATTGTGTGTAAGGGACCCAATATCCAGACTCATTTCCGATTTTAGGCATGAATCAGAACTGAAGCTTAGGAGAGAGTTCAAGAGCAACAGGTTAAAGTACGCCTCAAGGACTGGCCAGTTTGAAGGAGAGCGGTTGCGACAAGAGATCATTGGCAGATTTGGCCATGTCAATGGATCCAACGAGCTTGTGGATACCAGTGTTTATGTGAAACACTACAAAAACTGGCTCCAGTATTTCCCTCCTGAGAGTATCATGGTCGTTGACCAGGACAAGATGGAGAAGGACGTCTATGCCCAGATGAAACGGCTGGAAGAATTCCTTGGCCTTAGGCCCTTCTTCAAGCCCTCTATGTTTTACTTCGACACCGCCAAAAATGGGATCTGTATGAGGGAAGGGCACCTCCCAAATAGGAACTGTCCGGCCAAGAGCACCCCGAGTGTCCTACCTAAAGCTATCATTGATCCACAGACGATGGCCAAATTAAAAGAATTCTACCGTCCATTTAATCAAGAGTTCTCGCAGTTAACAGGGATGTCCTTTTCTTGGGCGATCTAGTCTGGATTTCCATGGAGACCTTCACTGTTTGAGTACAAAGCCTGAAATAACTGGACCTGTGGTCTTCAGAAAATGCTTGTTGTACCCAAACAGCCAAACTAGCTTGTACTGAACGGGTTAAGATGTGAATGGTTACAAATTCTTTGGCACACTGGCTTGTGATTTGTATATATAGGAATGCCAGAACAGGATTTTCTCACCACCATAGAAATTATTCTTAGATGACTTGTAGTGTGAAATGTCCTAATCTTTAGTTCTATAGGATGTGCGATTCAGTACTATTATATTGTACCTAGCTGTAGATTTAGCGTGATGCCCTTCATCAATACACATTTAAATGCTATAAATATAAACTTTTTTTGCAACCTATTTACACGTTTTTGACCATTGTAATGTCATTCTGATATGCCTTGTAGTAATGCACTGTCTTGAATCACAAACTTAATTCAACCCAATCTGACCAATTGACCCAAAAAAGAAAATATATCTTTATTTTTTTTCCTAAAATCTCTATGCTGGAGGTATGAGAAAGCTGCTACATGTACAATGTATATAATTTGTACGAGTTCTACATTTTGCACAGGACTCCACACTAACCTATTTTTTTAGCATAGGGTCTGGATTCAAAATGTGAAAGACTGTATGCATCTATAAGCAATATATGTAAATATCTTGAAAATGTAGGGGTCTGGACTTAGACCCCGTTTACAGTGAGAAAAGGGCCAGGGCCGGGCCAGGCCTACTCGGCCCTGCAAATTGGTGCATTTACAGTGGCAGGCTCGGCCGCGGCCGAAATTGTAACCTTTCAATATTTTGTCAGAGTGGCGTTCTGCATGTAAACAAATGATTATTTAGGGGGAGCGCCGAGGGTCACAGTGCAGATCCGGTCGCGCGCGATTTGCAGTGAATCTTTTCCCCAATTTCCTATACGCGGCGAACTTTCACTTTCGGGGTAACAGTTGGCCGCGCATTTGGCCCTGCGTGCGTTTACAGTGAGAAAATGGCCGCGGCCGAGACTACCTCCAGAGCAGGGCCAAATGCGCGGCCAGTTTGGCCTCGCATTTGGCCTTTTGCGCGTTTACAGTGCTAGGCCTGGCCCGGCCTTTTGCTCACTGTAAATGGGGTCCTAGTCTTTGGAGTGCCCTTAAGCCTTAAGTTTTAAGGAAAGGAAATGAAGCTCTCTCTTTGGAGTTTGATCAAGACATTTGTAGATTTACCTGGTGCGATTTCTTTGAAAATTGCACCCAAATACCTGTTTGATTATTATGCAGTGAACATTAAACTATAAAGAAATGAAGGCCTTTTATTTCAGGGTGGTAGGCTTCGTTAACTTTGTGCCAAAATATTGTGATAAAATTGTAAGGAAGATGGAAACATAGATACAATGTATCAACCAATTGCCATGCTCAAAGATCAAATAAGTTTTCAGAATTTGACCTGATATGTACAATTTTTTCCCCTATGGTCGCTTTCACCAACGTGAAGCAAATCGTCGCTATATTCCAAGCAGGGCAGATTATAATTTGGAAGTACATTGTAGATTGAAAGAGTTTATTTTGATATCAAGTTTGTATATAAACACATACAGTGTACATGTACAATGTACATAACTACGAAGTAATGTTTGAGGTGTCTATAGATTAGACATATTTGTGTGTTATTTATATGATGTAATAAGATTTAAAGATGGTTTCTTACTATCAGCTATTCAGTTTTCATGTACATTAGACTAGGAGAGATACATGTAAGATGAATAGTAATATTCCATATAACAAACATGTAAAGAAATATACCTACATGTATAGCACAGTGTGGTTCCAGTTTTTCACATAGAAAACATCATGTCAAAACAAAAGATTAGCCGCTTTCAATAGAGCATTAATGTGTTTGCATTTATATCAAATTATGAGTTGTACATGAAAAATGTACTTTTGCAAAGGAATTATTTCGAATGTTATTACCTAGTAAATGGCTAGGGGCCCGCCTAGTAGGGAGAAATTCCTTTACCGTTTTAATGTTGTGATAATGACATCATTTAGCTCTTTGTATCTGCGTTTATTAATCCAATTTATTCTGATGCATTTACATGTAGGCAATAGGCATTGTGTCTATTTGACTGTCTGGATAGTTTATGTAGTCGTATGTACAATTATTATTATTGTCGGCATTATTTTTACCGGTACTCTTCGGGAAGGGGAAGCTTATTCATAAAATAAGTACTTATAGGGTGAAGCTACCCTTGAGGGGCTTGAATTGAATGTTCCTTGTATTTCTTTATCCATGAAAACAGTACCAGTGTTTGTATGTAGGTGCTGTGTGAAAATGTTCTAGTTGGGTTTCTTGCCGATGTTCAGTGCAGTATTTTTTTGTTATACTTGTTCATAGGGCTGTAGATGTAGATGTTGTATTTGCTGAAGTGCTGAAGTTATATGTTGCGTTGTAGAACAGCCATTTATTTTTGTTAACATGAATAGTATTATTGAGTAAATTTGTATGTATTTCTATGATACGTGGTATGTCATTACTATTAATTTTGTTTAGAGCCCTGTCCTATAATAGAGTTGTGATTGATTACAAATATTTTTGCAATGGCTAAAAATCACAACTCTTTACTAAAGAGATAGAAGATTCAATTGATATCAATTGCAAATTATCTGTAATTTATATCAACTCTTTTCTAAGACAGGGGCCCAGGTATGCATTGAATTATGACTAACTAACAGTTTTGGAGGAAATATACCCTCATTTTACTTTATATCTTAATGTTTTATGGTCACATTGCTGAAGGGTTTCTGTGAGGTTCTTTGGAAAGGTGAAGGGACACTACAAGGAAGGAATCTGAAACTGAAAAAAGGGATAGCGATTAACCTGTCAGACTATTCTGTATGCCACATTGGATTGTGATTTTCTTCTGACTATGTCCCTCCATCAAGGCATTAATATGCTACTCGTCCTCTTTATTTCAGCCGCAGACTCCTTGTCTGTCGTAATGGATTGAAAGAAGCAGCAACTGTCATCTCAATCTTTTTCAAGAGAATTTAGAAAGACTCATGAAAACAGATAAATTAGATCTGTCTAGAGCCACAAGCTAGGGACTTATAATTCAGTTTAAAGGCATATGAGCTAAATTTCTCATTGTTTATCTGATTTCATTCAAACTTTCACCTTCTCTCACATTCATTTTCCTTCACCGGTAAGTTGCCTCCTTTCATCAAAGTGTGGCAGATTGAATAAATATTTGATAGACCTGGGACTCATTTCACAAAGCCTTTTTTCAATGACAAATATCAAAAATCAATGACAAATCTGATGATAACCAATCAGAAGCAAGGATTTCACTTGCTTAGAACAAAAACTGACATTTGTCACTGATGACAAGTTTTGTGAAACACAAAAAAAATGTGCTATATTATCACAAAACCAACATACTATTGACTTCATGTGTCTGTTAAAGGTACTGTGTCCCTTTTGCAGCCAACCTCAAGTTCTGTAGAACTTTGCAGGAATTATGAATATGTCATATATGTCCTATCTGTGAAATTTAAACGTTAGCAGTGTCCCTCATAATTACGGTATTCAAATTATGCAAGGAAACCCGTTTACTTGCTAGACTTCACTGTCAGACACTATTGAGTGAGTGACTGGCTATTTTCTTCTTTGGTAATAACATACATGAAAAGAGTTGTAAAGGGTACATGAGCATTTGTCTACATCAATAACCCACTTCTTGTGATGGCCAAGATTAAACTGATTGAATCTTTGCGCAGCATAAAACGTATGACCATTCAGTACAATTGTCTGAAAATCAAGACTATTACTTTTGGGCTCTATAGCCCTAAAGTCGATTTGACAACTAATAGTCATTATTTTCCCACTTGAAGACATTTTCAAGCCCCACCTTTTTCAGGGAAGTTCTAAATAAGTATTATCTTTCAAATGCAGTTGGAATTTAACTTTTTCATTTTTTGGCCTGCAAATGGGACATAGTACCTTTAAGAGCCAGAAGGGCATTAACTTATTGACTGTTATACAGTAATAATGCCCTTATTGCTCCAAGCAGAAGATACGAGTAGTATGACTGTCTGTTTTACAGGCAGGGTCATATTTTTTTTCATCATCTTGATTATGTTCTTAACTTGTAAGTCAACCACCTTGTGCTTGTACATACAGTTTTCAAAGTATAGATGTTTTTTTGTAGACAGTATTATCCACTTTAGAAGTTCATATTTATGTTTTGCTTTATAATTGGAAATGAATGTTTGAAGGCTGTATTTGGTATTATTTGGAGCCCCATTCATAGATTATGTAGTTACACAGAAATATATTGTGGTGATTTTTTTGATTTTTTATGTAGCTGAAAATGGAAGTGTACGTATGAGTCAATGGGACTTGCCTGTGTTTTGGAGGGTAAGGTTTCGGATTAAGCATTTCATATGATGCATTTCGATAAATGAAGAAAGGAAAGTAGTTACTTTGTAATGATTTGTTAATGATGTGCTTTGATAATTAGAAATGAAAAAAAAAAGATGCTGTGTTTGTACATCTAGTCTAAGCACTCCATTTGTTAATCAATCACCCCCATTGTAATAGTTTACAGGCACAAATCCTTGTCAGTCGTAGTGCTTAAAGGGAAAGTCCACCCTGATATTAAGTTGGTTTTAATAGAAGCAGAAAATTCAGGAAATACAGATCGCTGAAAGTTTGTGTTTGATTGAATGCACATTCAAAAATTCATAACTTTCTTATTTGAAATCAGTTTTTACTGAAACTTTCACTGACCCGTTTCTCTAATATTAGTTTGCTTCTATATCAGGGTGGACTTTCCCTTTAACAGAGAGTCTGAAACATGATTGAGACAATGTAGACCGCACAGTCTACTGCACACTTTCTGCTTGATCGCTTTACCATAGCTGTTCTCTTATTTCACACCGTCAAAGGCTTACAAAGTTAGGCTAGTCTCAAAGCGTAATATCATAGACGTAATATGGACTTGTGTTTAATGTCAATAAGGTCTTTCTTCATCAGCCCAAGTTGGTCAAATAGCCCGCTATTTTGTGATTCAGGAAATTAGCCCGAAGTTACAAATTGCGTTTTCATTAGCTCGAAGCTCTAGCTCAAGAAATTTGTTCAGTGTTCGCGCATAGTGCGAGTCTTCGGGCTGGTGAAGACGTACCTCAAAAAGGCAGGCTATTTTGCAAACTAGCCCAAGATATCTTGGGAAGATTGCGTCTTCACCTGCCAAATAGCCGCTCGATTTTGATCGGGCTAATTCCTGGATCAGAAATAGCGGGCTATTTGGCCAACTCAGGCTGATGAAGACCAGTACCTAGGCCATGTATTTTACCTATTCTTATTTGACACATTCTTATATGACACAGCCAGAGACTGGCAGAGTTGGGGTTGCATCAAAGTTTCATCAAATTTGATTAAGTGTCAACTGGAGTCTGTACGTGCAGACTAATTTTCTAATGAGGTACAGTATTTGAACTCCAACTGAACGCACCTGTTAGACTGCAAGTGTAAACATATCCTGAAATGTTTGTTGAGTGTCAAGTCTGGACTTAACTTGTTAGCTTAATACTCCCGTAATTGAAACCGATCATGCCATATCAGGCCTGCTGAAAACCTGACAGATGGTAGCTTATGTAAATGGCTTGTCTTTGCAACCTGCTAACGCTTTGCAAACACATATTTCCCAGTGATTTAAAGAGCCTAATTATGGCTGCTGTGTATTTCTTTTTAAATTCTGTTAAACACATAAATATATCAAATTCTGGTTTATGCATTAACCCTTACTGTACTGGGGGGGGGGGGGGCCTGGGAGGCCCCCCCCTCG